GAGTGAGCGCCCGTTGCTTGTCCCAGCTCCCACCAACCTAGCGGTTTGAAAGCATGCAAATGCGAGTAGATAAATAGGGACCACTTCGGTGGGAAAGTAACAGCGTTCCGTGTCTAAGTCGCACTGGCCATGTGACCACGGAAGATTGTCTTCGGACAAACGCTGGCTCTATGGCTTGGAAACGGGGATGAGCACCGACCCCAAGAGTTGAACACGGCTGGACAAAAATTGTCAAGGGGAACCTTTACCTTTACCTTTTGCTTTTAAACATTGTCTTTTAACAATGTAAGCCATTTGGGGTCCTTTTTAAGAAGAAAAGTGGGGCAAAAATATTTTAAATAAAATAAATAAATACCAGTAAATAATAAACCTACCATCAAGAAATAACTTATTCAATAAATTAAGCTTTCTGGTGGGAAAAAATGTGTGGCTGTATGAAGATGTAAAATGTGTGGTTTGTTCGATTAAAATAACGCAGTTCAGAAAACATAACATGTTTCGCAGGGCATAAGCCACAATACAATTTGAACACTAGTACTATTGTTGAACAAACCTTAAATGACAGCACGAACCGAGCATTAACAGATACCTGCTTGGTCAAACTCCGTGCGGCAGGGCTCACTGTCCAAGCAGTCTGCCATTTTTCTGACCCTGCTCACGGAGTTTTTATTGCCTTTGCAACAAGGGAAGCCCTGCCCATTCCAGCAGATCCTGGCCCAAAGGCCAGGAGGCTGGTGGGCTTGCACGGGAGGGATACCTTTGCCTATACTCTGGCCAGGCCCCCTTTGCTGGAAGGGGCAGAGAAGAATCCCCCCATATTTAGCATGAGCTCATCCTCCAATCAGACGTATGAGAATGTCATTGGAAGGGCTGTGAATATGAACGCCTCACCTCTGGCCTGCAGCGTTTCACATTTGAAATCATATTCATCTTGCGCATCTTCTAGAGTTTTGATGATCTGCTCCATTTCCTAGAAAAACAATAGCCTCATCAGCCACACGGAAAATAAATAAACACTGTTCATACGCAACCTATTTCTTTGACTTGTTCTTCAAGAAATGCTCTCCGGGCAGCTAAACATAATAAAATTCCAACATCTTATAATCTCCACCATCATCATCTTAGAACTGCAGAGCTGGAAGGAACGCTATGGATGATGGAGTCCAGCCCCTGCCAAGGAGTCACAGTGTCTGGGGGAACTGAACTCCCAGCCTCTGGCTCCACAGCCAGATACCTAAACCACTAAGCTCTCCACAAGTCCTAATTACCGTATTTTGTGCTCCATAAGACACTCTTTTTCCCCTGAAAAAGTGTGTATGGGGGGTAAGCCTGTGCGTCTGATGGAGCGAAGGTGGAGATTTTGCCCCCAATGGCCCCATGGGGGGGAGCCTCCCAAGGGTCTGAGTGACCCTTCCAGGACCCTTGCGACGCTTCCCCACAGCCCCCCCACGGGGCCAGAGGGGGTGAAATTGCCACCTTCTGGGACTCTTTTGAGACTTGGGAAGCTTCAGAGGAGTCCCCGAAGGTGGCGATTTCGCCCCTGCTGGCTCCGTGGAGGCATGGGGGGTCGAAATATGAAAATACAGTTTAAAGGACAGCAATACAAAAGCAAAACACAGCTCCTTATCATTCAACTCTTCTGCAATTACCAAGCACACATGCCAAAGGCATCTGTAAATAAAAACGTCTTTTGCCTGCTGGGAAAAGAACAACACAAGAGGAGCCAAGCAAAGCATGGAACATTATCTTTTTGGACTACACCTCCCACAAATCCCTAACCAGCCCAGCCCAGCCATGTTGGCTTAGGAATTCTGGGAGGTGTAGTCCAAAACATTTCCAAGCTTTAGAGACAACCCTCAACCTTAAATAATGACCAGGAAAGCTGGTATTAGGCTGCCTTTCTCCCTCATTGGCCAATAAAACAAACAAACACAAATAAAAGAAATATACAGCTGCTCATCAGCAGGGAACTGTCACGCCCAAGAAAAGTCCCTCTGCTAATACTGTAGGTATTAAAAGGGAAGCAACACAATCATGAAGGTTTTTATTAATTTCTTTGCAACAGCATCCCGCCCTTGTTTTCAAGATGCTTAGCCTTGATGCTCCCTCCCACCCATCTTGCTTTGATTTAGCCCTCTGAATCAGGTCAAGGTGAAAGGCAAAAGCTGAGTCAACATCCCTCAGTGAACTTCGCTGCCAAAGAAGGGACCGAAATGTAGACTTCGGGAGTCTCAATTGAGCATGACTACAGCAAATGTTCTAATGGCGATGGCTCCCTTCACTGAGGCGGGAAACACCCGCTAGCCAAAGTCACTGGGCCACTTGAGAGAACTAATGGCCAGTGACGATACTGACACGGGGAGAAAGCCACGCTGCTTGCTTTCACCCTGGTTAAGGCCACTGACACACAGCCACAATGTGGCTTACCCTTGCACAACAGAAACCTGCCCCTGGTCCAGACGCAAGTGAACTTGTGGCTTTCTCCTTGCTGCTGGACTATAACTCCCATCATCCCTCACTACTGGCCATGCTGTCTAGGGCTGATGGAACTTGTTGTCAATCACCACCTCTCCCCCAGAAACCTGCCTGCAGAGACAGACTATTTGGTTTAACCACAGCTTACACATACGAGAAGTGTTCTGGGTGGAACATTTCATAAGCTGCCTTGTGCTCTGCTAAAAGAGGACCTCCCCAGCTCTCCACTGAGAGGAACAAACGGCGCTGCATCTTCTGCTCAAGTTCAGGGTATCCATCACCATTCTGTGGGACTCCCGTTCAACTACAGTAATTGCAAACTAGGTTTTGCAAATCTACAGTGCCTTGTCCGCATACCAAACTGCAAACCAGAGACATTCTTAAAGAAAGCAAATCTCAATTAAACTTATTAAGGAGGTCCGGCACCTGATGATCAGGAAAATGTATCTGCATGACACAATAACTCTCATTATTATCCATATTCTCCTAACCCAAGTCTCTTAGCATCCCCCAGTCACCCAGGGAGGGGGGGATGACAACAACCTGTGCCATTTGCTCCCATCAGGTGGCAAGTCCACTGGTAAGATTAGCTGGGGGGGCTATGAAGGCAGACAGCAAACCCGGGCAATAAGCTGACCACAGATTGTGTGTGTCTCCCCAAATGAAATAAAGGCAGGGAGGTCTTTCATTGGAGTACAGCAGTGGTAATTCTGCAGCCTGTTATTCCCTGTCCTCTACTCTTGGGGAGGGACATTTTTGCAACTCAAAAATGGCCAGCTGCCACCACCCCCACCCCAAAAAAGGGCTCTCTAGAAAGCAATTATCTGTTTTAAAATGAGTTGGAGGCCAACACCCATTAATGTTCTGGAAGAGACCATTCTCAAAGCCAGGCTGAGAGGTCTTTCACTGGAGTACAGCAGTGGTAATTCTACAGCCTGTTATCCCGTCCTCCACTCTTGGGGAGGGCCATTTTTCACAACCCAAAAAGGGCCAACTGCCCGCCCCCCCCCCCCAAAAGGGCGCTCTGGAAAGCAACTGTCTATTTTAAAATTACTTGGAGGCCGACGCCTATTAATGTCCTGGAAGAGACCATTCTCAAAGCCAGGCTGCGCTCCGCAGAGTTCCAGGATCTGATGGAAAACTGGGTTCTCCGTCCCCCTGGGAAAGCCTATGGGAGCCTTAAGAAGGGAGAAGGAAGACTTTCATATCAGAACCCACGGACCCTCCTTGGCCACGGCCTGTCCACAAACCAAGGTTCAGCCACTTGTCCTTTTTTTACTTACTGTGACACTGTTTTTCACCCCTTCGACTTTGGAATTCAGCTCCTTGACCTTACCAAGCATCGCCATATTCTGCACGTTCCCCACCTGCATCTGGAATTGGAGGGAAAGGAAAAAAAAGAGCAACGGTGATGCCAACCAAGGGATGCTGAAAAATGATCACTTGGGAGACGTTCCTGTGCAGGGATACAACTCCTAGAAAATGGTCCAGGGGTTCAGTGGGTTGCGGTCAAACAAAGTACTGTAACTTCTCCACTGCCATGCAAAACTGAGAACCAAGGCTGATGTAGGAATACCTCCTGGGAAAAGCTTAACCCCAGCCTCCCCCCTTAGGTTTCGTAGCAGGACTGCACCGCTGCTAAGGAAAGGCAGCCACAGAGGTTCCTGGGGCCATTTTCTACATGCAACGCTATTTCCCCATGCAAGATGGAAAAGTCACCTGATCTGCTGACTGAGCTGCTTCAAGGATTTTCCTTTCTTCGTGCAAACACTTGGAGATCATCATGGCCAGGTACATGGGGTCTTCGTCAAAAGTGTTCTGGGGTCCCACAGCAAAGGAAGAAAATTATTTAGTGCAACAGAGGGACAGGCACACCGCCAAGATCGACGGGTTTTCCACTAAGAAACCTGTGCCTCTCCAGAGACTGGTGAGCAACCTTTCTCATCATCACTCAGAATTGGCTAAGGCTGAGGGGAACTGGAGTGCAACATATCAAGGGCCACATGTTCCAAGATCTGTTTCGTGAAGAATCTCAAGGTGTCCCTTTTGTAGTCAGCTGCAAGGAACAGGGTATCACTGAGCACATGGCTCAGACCAAGAATCTACTCCAGTCAAAGGCACCCTCTTCTTTAATTCTACTTGGTAACAGAACAAAGCCCTCAGTTCTTTCACGCAAATACCTGCCCCTCCTTGCACACAGCAAAACTTTCTTAATTCCAGAAGTCCAGCACCAAAACAGGGAGATGCTGCTGTTCTTTTGCTGTTGCTTGTGCTACCTCTGCTAAATAAGCAGGCGTTGGAACCTCTTGCGAACCTAAGGTGACCCAGAAATCTACCTTTTCTACCCATCATCCAAATGAATGAGAGGGAAAGAAATGGGACACAGTGTTCAGCTGCTCAATCTCAAAGTAATAGAACTCAGAAAAAAGGAGAGGATTTCCCCCCTGGCTTCTCCTGTCTCAAAAATCATCCAACCTGAAGGGAAAATACAAAGAGGTCTTAACCCAGGTATGATTTTTACCTCAGTATTTTTTTACCATGACCCCTTGCACTTGGGTTGCAATAGTTGAAATTCAGCTGGTGTAACTTTACAACATACAACAAGGATGACTTCATCACCCACCCATTTTACTCTTGGTTGTCATTTAAATGTTCCTATTCCTCTCCTTTTAGGTTCTGGGGCTCCCTTTTTGCCCCAGGGAGGCCTATGGGAGCCTCTGGAGGAGGAGGAGAAGGCCCCCAACACTCCAGTGGTGCCACCACCAGGCAGGGACTGTTGCTGGCGATCGGGTGGTGATTTTCTGATACGGAAGCTTCCCCCTCCTCCCTTCCTGAGACTCCCAAAGGCTTCTGTAGGGGGGGCGGTCCTTAAGGAGTCTCAGAACCTGAAATGGAGGGAGGGGGAGAGAGGAAATGTTAGATTTTATTAAAACAAGTAATACCACTGGGTGACAACATCATCCTCACTGCACGGGATGATGTTGTGCAACAGGATGTCTGTGTGGGCAAGCGAATAATGGAGACCTCATGGCATGAGATCTGTAACTGTCATTCCACTCCCACAACAGCCCACTGCGTGAGCAGAATGATGAACTGGCTTCTTCCCGGTAACAGCAGCAGCCAAGATTTTTTTAAAAAAATTATCTTCCTTTTAGCAAAAGTAAAAAAAAACCCCACATACATTACACACACGGACAGAGGTTCATAAATGGGACGGCTCTCCATTGGCAACCCACGCAGGTTAAACTCACCTGAAGGTTCCGCTTGCTCTTCCTGATGTTGTGCTGGAGCAGAAAGTTGTTCTCCTGGGTGAAGCGGCCGTACTGGTCGTCGAGCTGGGACAGCAAGTTCTGGAAGAGCAAAGTCGCCAGCGAGCCATCGCTGGCCGCATGGTCCCTAGGAGGCAAAGCATTGGAAGAGCCACTGAGCCTCCATTTTCACTTTCCATTTCTGGAAGCCACTTTCTCTTTCACTCCCCTTCGTGAAAAGCTCTGTCAGTTTCTTTCCAGCCCTAAGAAAACATCTCCTTAGACTGAGCATCCTCGGTCAACCCCTTAATATCACACATGCTGCATCAGCCTCTAGCAGAGGAGACACCAGGTGGTAGGTTCAAAAGATCACAGTGTGGGAACTATTTGAAACCAGTCTCCGATGAGTGTCTGGAAACGTCAGCTGGCTGAAAATGCAGCAGCCAGACTGCTGGCTGGCCCTGGCTACAAAGTATGTTCCTTATTACAACAGCTTCACTGGCTGCTAGTCTGTTTCCGGGCTCAAATCAAAGAGCTAGTTATTACTTATAAAGCCCTACACAGCTTGGGTCCAAACTCTTTGAAGGATCAGGTCACCCCATATGAGCCTTCTAAACTTTTAAGATATTCCAGAGAGGCCCTTCTCTTGGTTCCACCACCTTCCCACACTCGCTTGGTAAGGACACGAGAAAGGGCTTTCTTGGTGGTAGCTCCCAGGCTTTGGGATACACTGCCCTGAGAAGCCAAGTTGGCCTCCTCCCCTCTTGTCCTCTCATTGTCAGGCAAAAGACCTCCCTCCTCAGGCAGGCTTTTTAAATAGTAGGTGTCTCAGGAATGCATGTTTTTTTAAACCTAAGAGATGTGTCAATGCTTTTTAAAATGTAGTGTCTCAGGAATGCATGTTTATTAAACCTAAGAGATGTGTCAATGCTTTTTAAAATGTTTTAAAAAATTGTTTTAATCTTGGTTTTAATATTGCCAAACATTTGTTTTTTAACTATAGTTTTTATCATGTTTTCAAAACTGTTGATCCCTGTATAGTTTTAATTTTTGTGAGCCTCCTTGGGTCCCCCACGGGGAGAAAAGCAGAGCATAAAGAATCAAAGAAATAATTACAATGAATTCCCAGACTGGGTGATGGCAAAGCAGCAATACTAGGAATCGCATTGTTTGGCAAATGGAGTAATCCTTATTTGTTCACGCCAAGTTTCCTCCTTGAGCAATAAGACCTCAAATGGGGCTTCCCACTTTCTTATACAGTGGTGCCCCGCATAGCAGCCAAGTTTCCTCCTTGCACAATAAGACCTCAAATGGGGCTTCCCCTTTCTTATACAGTGGTGCCCCGCATAGCAACGATAATCCGTGCAGCAAAAATCGTCGCTATGAGGATTCGTCGCTATGCGAAATGAAAAAGCCCATAGGAATGCATTGAAACCCCTTCAATGCGTTCTTATGGGCTTAAAACTTACCTTTTAAGCGAAAATCCTCCATATGGTGGCCATTTTAGCTGCCCGGTAAGCAAGGAATCCATCCCTGTTTTACCCGGCGGCCATTTTGGAACCACTGATCAGCTGGGGAAAAATCATCGCGAAACAGCTTACCGATCATTGCAAAGCGATTTTCCCCCATAGAAAACATTATCTGATTGCAAAAATATCGTCGCTATGCGGATTTGTCGTTAAACGGGGTGCCCGTTATGCAAGGCACCACTGTACCTCAGTATTTTGGTTCAAATGAAGATAAGGATTCAAAATGATATGCACAACGGATTTATTTACAAAAAGAAGGAGAAAATGCAGATTTCAGTGCCTTTTCCCAAACACATACAAACCAGCCAAAGTTCTGCACTTTTAAAGCCTCTTCCGGTTTTGTTGAGAACAATTTAATAACCCAATAGACTTTTTTAACACCAGACACCAGTCTGTCTCTCACCAGTCTTGGCTTTCTAGCCAAGGGGCCAGATACTGTCTGATCTCCATGGGAAAGCTGTCATCATAAAGCTGGTGTACTTGTTCCAAGAACTTAGAATCCAGTTGCTGTAGTTTATACCACTGACTCATCCTGTGGGATCAAAACACAGAAGTTTACAATTAAATTATAGGTCTGATATTTCCTATCATGCACTCATCAACATTTGGCCCAGTTCAGAAGTCACATTCAGTGAGTGTGCACCACTTTCCCCCCTGTAGCCTTAAAACCAATCTGCCCTATGTCTTTGGTTAAGGATAACTGTTATTGGCTATGGATAGCAAAACAGGTGCCTTCAGCCTGTGAACTCTACCAGGAATGAGTCCACAAGGAAGAAACACATAAATAGTGATTAATCCTAACTCTGGTTTGTTGCAACAACATAGCTTCGGCATACTATCCTGCCTTGTTTCAAATATCCACAGTTAAGCTTAATTACAGGTTTTAGGGACAAGAGGTTAATAAAAAACAGTAGCTTATGATCTTTGTAAACTGCAGAAGGAGCAGAATGGGAGAACGCACATAACCACTCAACAAATATTATTCCTGCAATATTAAATCACAGCGGTATCATTTATTTAAAGTCAATTTCTGGCTTAAGAGCAATTTCTGCCAGAACTATGGATACACTAGTTCAGATTTCAAGGTGAACCATGATAAAGGTTTCACTCTTTAAGGTGCTACAGGACTTTCTTCTGGCTTTGTTACACTAGATTAAGGCAGTGACTACACAATGGAAAAAAATGCAGACTGATCCACTGTGAACTTGCACGGGGAACTAGGATTTCCCCAAGTGAATTCAGTTGAGTTTACCAAACAGGAGTCAGCAGATCAGAGGAAGAAATTGCCAATCAGCCTTTGTCTGCAGCTTGTCAAAACAGCTTCTGCTGTAGCCATCCAGATTTCCAGCAGAGCTATCTTAATGAGCTGCTGACTCCTGTTTGCTCTAGTGAGGAGAGAGGTGCTTCCTTCTCTCCCCATCCCACCAACCGCCAGCATCCTTGCACACACTTTTTTTACATCAGTTCAAATGATCACATCATGTGAACCAATGCAAATGCATCTGATTGCGAAAAAATAGAAGCCCCAATATGGAAGGAAAAAAGTACAAAGGCTCCATGCTGATTCATACTGAAAACAATCCAAATCTGACCATGCAATCCTGGACCAATTATCATATTATTTGTCAATGTAGCCTGGAAGAAAAAAACATTATTACATGTAACAAAGAAAGGCAGCAGATCGCAACATCCAAGGTAGCGAACTGAATGAACCAATCAAATATTATTTTAAAGACATTCCACTGGGAAAAAAATCATAAACTTCAAAATAAAAAAGAGTTCAAACTCTTACAAATGCTTTTCTCACAAAGAATGCTACTCAAATAAAAGTGGAATTCTTTTTAAAAAGCTACTCTTAAAAATAACGAAAACACTTAAACTGCCACTGAGTTGAAAAATGTTCTCTGCATTTGAGTAGCTACATTTAAATCCTGTCTTTACTCCAACAGATCAAGGCTACATGCCTGCCTTTACTCGTCACTTTATCCTCATAACCCTGTAAGTGGGAGAACTAGAACACAAAGCTCCCAAGTCTCAGTCAATCACTAGCATCACCGAAATCATCTGTTGACAATAATTTTGTGCAGGTGAGGGAATGGGTTGGCAGACAAATGATGGGGTGACCCATCTATTCTTTCTCCACCAGCTTATTTGACAAAAAGCAAATTTTAAAATGACCAACTAGTCTGCCAAAAAGGATAGGTAGCTGAGATTTCCTTGCTGGTGGTGGACAGGAGGTTCCCCTTGCAGCAAACAGGAACACAATAAATACTAGCCCCAAGCCAGCCTAGTAAAAGATGAATAGGTAGAGAGACAGACAAGCGGTCAGATGGATGGAAGGATGCACAGCATCATCATGTTTATGGGCTTATTTTCAAGGTAGCTGGACCATACAATCTGTCAACCAAGTCTAACTGTACTAAAAATCAAAAGACTTGCCAAGGAAGGCTGCTGTTTCCAACCTGGACAAATCACAGAAATTGAGCATATGGAGAAGGGAAGGGATTTAAGAGAAAGCAGGATGTGGGATGGCTGGCTGGGATGAGCAAGTAGTGTTAAATGGGTGGCAAGATTCAAGGAATGAACTGTAGCTCTAAGGCATAAAGATCCACTAACACTCAGGAATTTTTTTTCCCAAATGTCCTCCGAACAAAATCCAGAAACACTCCCTCGCCCCAAAAGCCTGGGTGGGATCTATAAGGAGCACTATGAGAGACACAACGGAGTGCCATGTTAAGCAAATTCTACACACATGGGTTTCAGTTATGAGATTTAAATACATACTTGACAGTCTCCCACTAACCACGGGGGAATGGACTGAGATCACTTTAATCTGAACAGGTTCAGCCTAGTCTGGACATGTATATTTTACCAGCATCGTGTGTATGTGTCTGTATGTACAGATACACAGCGCTGGCAAAATTTATGCATAGCCACTATGTTGGAGGAGTTAGATCCCTGGATGAGGGCTTCTCCCAACAAACTCCCGGTCGTTGCCAGAACTGACAGCAAGCCTTTAACCAAAACCTTCTTTATCTTTTAGATCTGATTTCCCACGTGATGAAATTACATGACATACACGGATCTGCATGGACTCCCGAGTTTGCTGCTGGCCACACAACCTGGAAGTCACAGGCACGGGTTTACAAGAGCTCAGCACAGCTGCTGAGGAGGACAGAGCATTTTGGAAGTCGCCATAAGTCAGAGGCAACTTGACAGCGGCTGCCGAAGACAGAGCAAGTCCGAGGCAACTTGACAGCACAGAACAACAATAATAACAATAACAACAACACAGAGAGAGAGCTCCCTGTTTGAGCTTTCTAAACGCCCTCCTTAGGAAAGCCCCACTCCGAGAGAGCTCCCTATTTGAGCTTATTAAACGCCCTCCTTAGGAAAGCCCCACTCCAGGTGCATGCCCTCCAAAAAGCCTGAACTTACGCGATGCGGTAGCGGGGGCCCTGCCGAGCACACACTCTCTCGCTCTCTCTCCCGCCGCCTTCCCGGTTCTGCAAAAACGAAACTAACCCGGAGAAAGGAAATAGGAAACAGAGGCAGCGAAAGCACCAATCAGCGAACGGCTGGGTTTAACCCTCAGCCAATCAGAGAAAAAACAAAACTCCTTCTTGAGAAGCCTGGCTCTTACCACCATCTACCTCTCTCCCTCCGCCAGACCTTTGAATTTTTTAAATTATTATTATTGTGGTTCAGGAATGCATTGTTTATTTGGGCGAAGCTGCCTGCGTCTCGTTCTGCATCTCCAAATGCACGACTTCTCGTTCGAGATGCATTAACGGTGCTGCCCTGCGTTCTTTCTAGGAGACTGCATTAGGAAGTTGACAGCAACTTGGTAATTCATTCCTTGAGATGAACTCCGGTTGGACGCAACGGGTATTATTATAATGAAGTATAATAATACCCGTTGTGCCCAACTGGAGTTCATCATCATCATCATCATCATCATCATCATCATTATTACAAACAACAACAACAACCACTTTTGAACTGCAGAGCTAGCTGGAAGGGACCCTCCAGAGATCATGGAGTCCAGCCCCGGCCAAGGAGGCACAGTGGGGGGGAACTGAACTCCCAGTCTCTAGCTCAACAGTTGGATACCTAAGCCACTGAGCTATCCATATCTTACAGCTTTTCACTGTCAAAAGCTCCACGTTTTCTCCTTTTAAGACAGTGGTGATCATCCAAATTTTTGTTAATTTTTGGCATATAAGAATAAGGAGCCAAATCTTACACTCATTTATATTTCAGTCTCAAATCTGTAATTGCGCAGACTCAGACTAAATTCAGATGGGCTTTGCAAATAAGCAGGCAGAGTACTCGAGCAGAAACACCATTTTAAACGCCAACTATTTCAATGACACCTGTTCCTGGCAGTAGCACACTATCAAGGGGCCATCAAAAAAAGATGAATTGGCTTGATTAAATTTTGCACACAGGGCTGGGAGTGAACTACTCTCTCCGGCCCCAGCCCCTATGACTCTAACCGTTAGTCAGTCCTCCTTTCAAGTAACAATGCACAGAAGTTATCTAAATCTGTGAGATTTAATTTGAGGCCTTTTTGATTTCAAGTAACTTTCAGGTTAGGCTGTTCCGGTCAATGCAAGGATATTACATTTTTAAAAAAAAAACATTGTAAGGTTAAGTCCATCAACCCTTTTTTAGTTCTAGCCCAGTACTTCATGTTAACATAATAAAGGATTATTATTGTTCCTTGAACACCAGTTAATTTATGTTTGCTTGCACTTGCTTGTTGAATGTATTTCCACCTCACCCCACCTTAGACAAAAAGAGTTTGAGAGCAGCTTGCGAGGATAAATAGCATGAGATCTCCTGCTCTCAGGCTTCCAGTCTTCATTCAAAACTACGGACACATAAGGAAAGGGGAAGAGAAAGGAAGAAGGCCTGTTTAGGGGATAGTTCTTATCAAAAACATCTGAATGGCAAGGGTTTAGGGAGCCTGATGCAAAACCTACCACTTGCCAAATGCTGAAGGGGGTGGAAACACAGCTGGTCCTCTCCTCTCCTCCTGCAGCCTGCTGGAAAGGCTGCCACTGACCTGACATGGAGCAGGACTTGTCTTTAATGGAAGTATTGAGAAAAGACGTAAGATGGAAGAAGTGATGGTAGAGAAATGGGGCAGGGATACTATAAGTGACAGGGTGATGTGGTTGGCTGGTTGGTTATTCATTTACTAATTTACTCATTTATTCACTGCCTTTCTCCTCATAGGGGACTCAAGGCAGCTCATAACAGATAAAACTATAAACCCCAGTGTTAAAATGCTACGTAAATATAATTTTTTAAATTAACCCTACATTAAGATTAAAAACCATTTAGAAATCTGTAAGTTAAAAATTAAAAACCAGCATTCCTGAGACCATTTCCTGTTTGAAAGGCTGCCTGAAGTGGAAGGCTGACTACAGAAGGATGTGTGATAACCTTGACCGGGTCTGTAAAACATTAAAAACGGGTGAGTTTTTGAAAGTTTTAAAGGATGGGAGCAACATCGGAAAAGACCCCGACATCGTCTTGAGCAGATTTTGCTATGTCAAAATCTACATTTAACACATGCACACCTCTGGGAGGGGAATCCATGCTTTTTTTCCCCTCAGATGGACAGTCAGCTGATGGCACCCTTGTAAGACCCTCTTTGCAGTTCAGATTTGAATGAGCAAGAATGATGGCCATGGTGAGAACCAAAAGCCAGGATCTTCTTCCATCCATAGCACAGGTAAGCCATGTGCATGATCAAATGAAAGAAACCTGCTACTGGCGTCTGTGACAGAAACACCAGGTAAAAGGTTACATGCCAATTATTAGATGTGTTTCTCTTCCACCAGTCCTTCAGGGAGCTCAAAAGAGCAGCCAGGGCTCTTTTCCTTTCCCGCAAGGGAATGTGTGGCTTAAGATCACTCAGCAAACATTATGGTTTGCCAAGGAATTGAAGCTGGATCTTTCCAACCCCACCCTGGGGGACTCTAACCACTACACAAACCTCACAGATTCCACACTTTGTTTGCCAAGAACGAAAAAGCCAGTCTTGTCCTTTGGCTGCAGGACACGAAAGGCTTGGGTTTCTAAACTCATTCTCTCCAGCTCATATTCTTTCCACTGTCCTCTCTCCTGGCCCTTGTCTTCCTCAGATCAGAAAGAGCAAAGGAGGGCTTTCATTAATTCCTCAGGGCCTCCCCAAAAAAAGATTAAGAGCGTGATTCTTGGAGATATCTGCTAAGAAGCAGTGAATCCCGTTAAACAAATTCAATCTGCTCCCAGGTAAACAGAAAGAGGCAGAGAGACATTCATGTACGTTCATTGCAGTAAAAGGTGACCATGTGGTCAAAACCAAATAAACAGGCAATACCTTTATAGCAGACCACTAAAAAAATCATCATACAATATACAAGCTTTCATGGATCAAACCACCACTTCATCAAGTTTGTACCAGTGTGAAGAACTTTAATCCATGAAAGCTTGTTTATCATATGATTTTTTTAGTTGTCCTTAAAGGTATTGCCTATTTTTGCATTGTGTGTGTGTGTGTCCCCACCTTCAATCATTTTCCTCTTCTGCATTTTGTTCCATCCACCCAGTAAACAACCTTCAAGGATGCTTGGATATGTACAAGCATGGCTATGGACGAGGATGCTGGGGAGTGTTGTCCACGGCAGTTTAAGGGCCATCCTTGCCAAAGGGCAGCCATGCCCCCTCCAACCTCCACACTTTTATTCTAATTTTTGGCCACTTAAAATGGCATCCTTCACATTTCTGTTGTTCTCTGGATAATGAAAGCGAATGCTAAGGTAGACTTCGGGTTTCTTTTTCTATTCCTGCTGAAAGGCTACATCGACACCCAAAGAGAAAGAAGAAGGGAAAATATATATATATTTAATAGAATAATAGAAAAGTGAAATTGGAAGCGGCTTACAAGGCCATCTTTACATTTCCTCATGGATGCCACAAAGTCCTTGAAGGCTCCCCCAGCCGCCGCCGCCGCCGCCTCCCCCCTAACAAACTATGCAGCGTCAAAAATCTGCGGGGGGGGTGGCGGGTTGCAATCAACGCCCGTCCCTTCCAGGCGGAGGTCGCACGCCAGGCGCGGCGGCGGGAGGGGAGACCGATGCCCGGAACGGCCAGGCCACGTGCTTTCTGAGAAAGACAGACTCTGCCGGGAAGGGAGCCGGGGAGGCGAAAGCGAAAGGGCGCGAGGGAGGGAAGGAGAGAGCGGTAGACTTGCCAGAGCGGTCAAGGCAGTGCCGGAAATGTGGTTTGGATCCGCTGGAGAGCTCAGAGGTTGGGGTCTCTGGCTGCGGAGCCAGCGGCTGGGAGTTCGATCCCCCCCCTCCCCGTGCTTCCTTAACAGGGGCTGGAGTTGAGGATCAGCTCTGCAGGTCTAAGGTTATTAAAGAGCTTCTGGAGAGCTTAGGGGTTTAGGCATTTGACTGTGGAGCCAGGGGTTAGGAGTTCGAGTGATTCCTCCCCCCACTGTCTTCTTGACAAGGGCTAGACTTGATGATCCATAGGGTCCTTTCCAGCTCTGCAGTATTATTATTATTATTATTATTATTATTATTATTATTATTATTATTATTATTATTATTATTATTATTATTATTATTATTATTATCTCTTTCTGAATTAAAGAGCATACATGGCATCTTGTTCCTTGCTCCTTGGAGACCAGAGCCACGGTTCCTTGGAAAATGCAGGAGCATGCCGCAGAGGGTCAGATTAAAAATCCAGAGGGTTCAGAAAAGCTGTTACCTACAAACACAGGCCATTGGCAGTGTCTGTGGCACCAATCAGGTTAAATGGTGTAAAGAATGTCTAATTTAATGAGTTTGCACTGTTGGACTTGCTGGGGAATATAATAACAGTGACTTATAATCGGAGACCTGCAGAGCTGGAAGGGACGGTGTGGGTCCGTGAGTCCAGCCCCAACACCAAAGATGAGATCTTGAGCACATAGGTGGGCACAGCCAGTGTTGTCATGACAGGTGCTTATCACAGTCAGGTCTCCAGAACCACAGGCCTTTGTTCTGATTCAGCCCAATTTGGTGGCTCAGAACCCAACCATTTTATTCTATTGGTTACTAAGCTCAAGGCCTTTGTAAAAGCTTGTACAGTATATCTTAATTCCCTTTTCATGAGCTACAAGTGGAATTGGTGTCAACAACATATTGTTGCTGGGGATTTCCATTTATCCTTCAGCTACTGCAAGGGAAGTGGGGGCTGAAGCATGGCAAAATAAAACCCTTGCCTACTGGAGCAAAGTCCTTTGACCCTGCAGACCCTGGACTCTGCTAGGCTGGGTGTGAATCTTGCAGCCTCTTGCTCTCATGGAGGAAGTGAAGGGCAAATTGCTCTTTTTTTCCATTGCAGTTGATTTTTTTCTGGACAATGTACGTTTTGTTCATCTGAAAAATCTCATGCAGTTTCTCAGAAAATGTGTATCTTGGAAGGGTTGTGACCAGTTTCTTTGCAGGAGACATTTCTGGTGCAAAAGAACAGGTCAAGAGAAGGGAGGAATGAAAATGATTTTGGGGGTGATCTTATTTTCACAAGAAGCTGGGAAAACTTGGTGGTACAGAGGAAAGTCTCGGCAGGGTGCTATAGCACAGCAAGAAATGGTAAATGCCATGAATTAGATGATGATGATGATGATGATGATGATGATGATGTGCCCGGAACGGCCAGGCCACGTGCTTTCTGAGAAAGACAGACTCTGCCGGGAAGGCAGCCGGGGAGGCGAAAGCGAAAGTTAAAAGGCAGCGCGAGGGAGGGAAGGAGAGAGCGGCAGACTTGCCGGAGCGGTCAAGACAGTGCCGGAAATGTGGTTTGGATCTGCTGGAGAGCTCAGAGGTTGGGGTCTCTGGCTGCGGAGCCAGCGGCTGGGAGTTCGATCCCCCCCCTCCCCGTGCTTCCTTAACAGGGGCTGGAGTTGAGGATCAGCTCTGCAGGTCTAAGGTTATTAAAGAGCTTCTGGAGAGCTTAGGGGTTTAGGCATTTGACTGTGGAGCCAGGGGTTAGGAGTTCGAGTGATTCCTCCCCCCACTGTCTTCTTGACAAGGGCTAGACTTGATGATCCCCATTGGCAGTGTCTGTGGCACCAATCAGGTTAAATGGTGTAAAGAATGTCTAATTTAATGAGTTTGCACTGTTGGACTTGCTGGGGAATATAATAACAGTGACTTATAATCGGAGACCTGCAGAGCTGGAAGGGACGGTGTGGGTCCGTGAGTCCAGCCCCAACACCAAAGATGAGATCTTGAGCACATAGGTGGGCACAGCCAGTGTTGTCATGACAGGTGCTTATCACAGTCAGGTCTCCAGAACCACAGGCCTTTGTTCTGATTCAGCCCAATTTGGTGGCTCAGAACCCAACCATTTTATTCTATTGGTTACTAAGCTCAAGGCCTTTGTAAAAGCTTGTACAGTATATCTTAATTCCCTTTTCATGAGCTACAAGTGGAATTGGTGTCAACAACATATTGTTGCTGGTGATTTCCATTTATCCTTCAGCTACTGCAAGGGAAGGGGGGGCTGAAGCATGGCAAAATAATACCCTTGCCTACTGGAGCAAAGTCCTTTGACCCTGCAGACCCTGGACTCTCCTAGGCTGGGTGTGAATCTTGCAGCCTCTTGCTCTCATGGAGGAAGTGAAGGGGAAATCGCTCTTTTGTCCATTGCAGTTGATTTTTTTCTGGACAATGTACGTTTTGTTCATCTGAAAAATCTCATGCAGTTTCTCAGAAAATGTGTATCTTGGAAGGGTTGTGACCAGTTTCTTTGCAGGAGACATTTCTGGTGCAAAAGAACAGGTCAAGAGAAGGGAGGAATGAAAATGATTTTGGGGGTGATCTTATTTTCACAAGAAGCTGGGAAAACTTGGTGGTACAGAGGAAAGTCTCGGCAGGGTGCTATAGCACAGCAAGAAATGGTAAATGCCATGAATTAGATGATGATGATGATGATGATGATGATGATGATGATGATCTCTTCATGTTCCTTCATCTAAGCATCATTTAAGGGTAGGACCTTTGGTAATTTAATTTCAAAAGCTTTTAACATAAAATAGGTTGTCTACCCTGGAAATGGTTGAGGCAGGAAACTTTGTAACTAGTTCCAGATTGCTAAGGATGGGCAAAGAGCAAACATGGATCTTGGCAAATTTCAAGGGCAAATAATTGAATACTATTGCTTGTGGTAAATAGCAAGCACAGTACTTTGTGGGCTTCCATTCTTCCATTGTACAGAAATAACATCACACGTAAATCCAGCTATTTACTCATCCTGATTAGTTAGTTTTTTCCAGCATTACAGTAGCTCAGTGGAGTGTGAGGTTCAAATACAAGCATGAGTGTAGATATTATTGGTTACAACTGGGACCTTTGTCATTAAGAACAGTTAAATAACCAGTTACCCTTTCCACACTAGGAAGACATTCTTCGTGCCAACCAGATGGCAACAGAACTGTGGTTTCAGATGATACCCAAATATGGATTTGCTTGTGCATGCAGAAGGCACTTTTACAATCAAAAATTGTATTTTATTTCATTTTATGTGCTAGCCCCCCCTCCAACTACAGCAGCTTGCACCCTACTGAAACCTGTTTCTGCTCAGCCCCTTCCAGATTGGCTTTCCAGAAGTGTAGAAACACTCTGTTTTGTGAATTGTAGTCACCATTCTAGGAATTCAATCCAACCATAACCCTAGAGTTCATGCTGAGGACAGCCAATTTTGCTTTAGCAGCTGTTCAGTGTTACTTTGGCTACAAATCCCATTTCCACTTACTTGGGAGTAAGACCCATTTAATGCAATAGGACTTACTTGTGAGCAGTTACATCTAGGTTTGCAGTGTTAAACTCTCTCGTTATTGATACCTCCTTTCTGTTTGCTGACTCTTCACAGAGCACACCAGAGGAATAAAACAGAAAAGGACCGCAGAGAGTGAGTGACCAGGCAAGCAAACTGGCAGTGGAGGACAAGGGGAGGCCCCCAACAAAATTGCTGGTTTCTATATATGGTTATATATTAGTGGACTTACCTTGCATTTCTTTAAGCAGACAAAACAAAGGAAAGGGCACTTGTAAGCAAACAGATGAAAGTAATAAGGTAACAAGGATTATGGAGGGAAGAGAGACTTCTGTGGGAATGACCTGCAATTGTGTGTGTGCAATGTATGTCTTTATGCATGAGAACAATAGAGTGTATACATGCAGCAAGTGCAAACTGCTAGCACTGTTGGAAGAAGAAGTGAAAACTGGAGCAGCAAGTGGCCAGGTCTAAGGCTATAAGAGAATATGAAAGAGTGCATAGAACTCTTGAGCAGCAGCCACCAGGGGAGGCGCTGAAAGTGGAGGAACAGCAAGACAAAGCAGAGGAGGAGGATGCTGGGGAGAGAAGGCGCTTAATGGAGGGAGCACCATGGAAAAGAGTCACAGGAGCAAAAGGAAGAGAAGACACTCTTCACCAGTGGAACCACAAAACTGCTTTCAGATTCGTGAAGAGGTCTGGCAGACAGCATGCAGAGGATGACATACAAGAGACACACAAACATCCCACCACCACCGAAGAAATGAGAGAGGCTGAAGCTCGGCCAAGGAGAGTCATTGAACCCACACCCTATAAAAAGATAAGTAATTGTAGTAGGAGACTCCCCGCTGAGTGGGATTGAAACAGAAATATGCTGGGAAGATCCATGGACCCACCAGGTATGCTGTCTCCCTAGAGCAGCAATGGCAAACCTATGGCACGCATGCCACCGCTGGCACGCAGAGCCCTCTCTGTGGGCACGAGAGCCGTAAGTCACCAGATCTCTACCACCACCACCCCACACACAGCCAAACCTGAGGAGGAGGCTGCAGCCACAGTGCTGGTGCTTTGACAGGCGGCAGGCCAGGATCCAGAGCAGCTGGCGCTGGTGGTGGATCCAAAGTGGGGTCTCGAGGCATCTCCATGCCCGAGATTCCCCCATTTCTGCCAC